TCTAGTCTGCAAAATACTGGGACAAGTGAAGGAGCCAGTAATTCCAGGGCTGCAGAGTTGTGATGCCAGTGCTTTAGTTCAGCCATACAGCAGTACCTCTGCCACATTACAGTCATTGCTATGGGGTTGTATTAGTCAACAGAATGACCTCTGCTGTCAGTGACCAATTAGTTTTTTTTAAGAGTGGCACAAAGTGCAGTTAAGGATTCCTGCCTAACTGGCCTCCTGCCAGAGGTAGTCATGTCATCTGGAGTACTTTTGTGTAGTTCAAACACTGCCGTGCTGTTACTTAAGAGAGAAGTTGCTCATTGCTGACTTTGTGTGCTAGGAGAAAAAAAAACCACAAAACATTGCTTTTTGCTGTGTGATGTCCATCTTTTTTTTTTTTATTGATTAGTAGGAAGTTGTCAAAAAAAGTATCTGAGTTAATTTGGGTCTGGGAGGTCTTTGAGAACGCATGATAGCTGAAAGATTGGTCCGTTGTGTTCTTCCTCCCACAAATCTCACCTTGAGTTCTTTTATTGGAACATGAAGCTGTGGATGGCCAGGGGATGTCATGTTAGACCCAGATAGTTTGAATGCAGCCGGTGTGATAGTTGAAAGTTTTTTGGTTTGGTTTTTTTTTTTTTGTTGGCTTTGGCCTGGAAACCATTTATGCCTAATAAGACCTGTAGAAAAGCACACACACACACTAAAACACCATGCACATATTGGCAACGGTGTAGTTGTGCACTCGAAATGAGACTGGAGGCTAAACCAGAAGACCTTTAAAATTAAAATAGCCTGGTCATTATAGTGGGTGGGTGTGTCTACATTAACACTGCTGTGGCTGCTGCCTAGATAAGAGCCCCAGTACAAGACATCCATATGAATGTCAAGATAGGACGTTTGGGACCGACATCTGTTTGTGGAAAGCCTTGCTCACATACATTCGTCTGAGCCGGCTTTGCCATGCCACAGTCCCACTTGTGCATGACAGGCCTCAGAGCAACCCTCCCCAATCCACCCCCCCGCCCCCCGACTTTTTTGTTAAGCTCATACCAACTAGTACCTGTGTTAGTTAAACTAATATCAATTTTCCTTTACTATAAAGGGAACAAATTGAGGGCATCCGCCTCTTAGTGCATGGATGATAGCTAAGCAGCACAAATGGTCTACTAAACTTTTCCCTTGAACTTATTTTGGGAGGGGGGAGAGGAGGATCCCCGCTCTGATCTAACGTGTAAATGGCAAAACATCCCCCACTTCAGGCACAGTTCCCACTTCATGTGCGGTCAGGCATGAGCGCAGCAGAGCTGCTGCTGAACACATTGTGCTGAAAAAAAAAAGTCTTTGTGAGTGTATTGAACCTCTTTCCTTTTTCAGTTCTGGGAGGTGATAAGCGATGAACATGGGATTGACATCACTGGAAACTACCGTGGGGATGCATCGCTGCAGCTTGAGCGAATTAACGTGTACTTCAATGAGGCTTACTGTAAGTGCTCAGCACTGTTGGGGTGTTGGCAGAGCAATTTGCAGAGCCAACATGAAGGTTAAAATAAGTAATTTAAACAAAACATATATCCCCAAATCACTGTAGGTGGGTTGAATTTTTCAGGTAGATTATAAGCCTGTCTCTGACTTCTAACAGTAATTGTTCGCATTCATTTTCTTTTGTCCTAGCCCATAAATACGTGCCCCGTTCTGTCTTGGTGGACCTGGAACCTGGTACGATGGACAGTGTACGGTCTAGCAAAATAGGCCCACTCTTTCGACCTGACAATTTTATTCACGGTATGTACAGCATGCTGTCAGCAAACTAACTAGAGTCAACTGTCCCAAAAGGGCCTTTTAACTCCCACCTTTGTAGCCTTTAAAAATTCTCTTGTTAACTTTGTGGCTGTTCTTTCTGTAATTCTGTTTACAGGTAATTCAGGTGCTGGAAACAACTGGGCTAAGGGCCATTACACAGAAGGCGCTGAACTGATTGAAAATGTCATGGATGTGGTCAGGAACGAGTGTGAGAGCTGTGACTGCCTTCAGGGATTCCAGCTCATCCATTCGCTTGGTGGTGGTACGGGCTCAGGTATGGGCACGCTCCTCATCAACAAAATCAGAGAAGAATATCCCGACAGGATTATGAACACTTTCAGTGTTGTGCCTTCACCCAAAGTATCCGACACGGTCGTAGAGCCGTATAACGCTATCCTCTCCATCCATCAACTAATAGAGAATACGGATGAAACCTTTTGCATTGACAATGAAGCTCTATACGATATATGTTTTAGAACTTTAAAGCTCACCAATCCCACCTATGGTGACCTCAACCACCTAGTGTCCCTAACGATGAGCGGTGTCACAACCTCACTCCGTTTTCCTGGTCAACTGAACGCAGATCTGAGGAAGCTGGCTGTTAACATGGTGCCCTTTCCTCGCCTGCATTTCTTTATGCCGGGCTTTGCTCCACTGACAGCTCGAGGTAGCCAACAGTACAGAGCCCTCTCGGTGCCAGAGCTTACTCAACAAATGTTTGATGCACGCAACATGATGGCAGCCTGCGACCCTCGTCGTGGGCGTTACTTGACCGTGGCATGCATCTTCAGAGGCCGAATGTCTACCAGAGAAGTGGATGAGCAGTTGCTGGCTGTCCAGACCAAGAATAGTTCCTACTTTGTGGAGTGGATCCCTAACAATGTCAAAGTGGCTGTGTGCGACATACCACCGCGAGGACTGAAGATGGCAGCTACCTTTATTGGCAATAACACAGCCATTCAGGAGCTCTTCATCAGGGTTTCTGAACAGTTCTCAGCTATGTTCAGAAGAAAAGCATTTCTCCATTGGTATACTGGTGAAGGTATGGATGAGATGGAGTTTTCTGAAGCAGAAGGTAACACCAATGACCTTGTTTCCGAGTACCAACAGTACCAGGATGCCACTGCAGATGTTGAGGAATACGAAGAGGTAGAAGTAGAAGCTAGCCCTGAAAAGGAAGCACTGTAAAAACAATGGTAATATCAAAACATTCTCTGAATGAGCCTGTTGACACTCACTAAAGAAAAAGCAGTAGCCATCATCTGCATACTGAAAAGAACACTTTTCTCAAGAATTTTTTCTCTGTATCTGGCCAAAATGTATCCAATATTACAATACAATGCTTTTGAAATTAAGGGCAGCTACGCTTTACTCTCCTAAACAACTGTTGACACTGAATCTCTCCCAAAAAAGAGCCACCGTGAAGACAAGTTGCCTCATAACAGCCTCTCTTGTCATGTATTCACTCCTAGAATATTATCACCAGACACTGAATGCAATATACAGCTTGTGTGTGCATATATATCAGGATCATAAGCGACAGCAAAATATGCTATCAACTCATCAAATTTATTTATTCTCAGGTAAACACAGTTCGTGTTTTGTTTGTGAACTTGTTACTGTTTTAGGAAGGCATGCACCTCTGTAAGGCCTATAAGGGCAGTGTCTATTTTATTGCACACTCCACAGCCTGATCGAGAGCTGCAGACAAGTTCAGTTCCTTAAGTTGCCCGGAGAGGGGAGGGGAAACAACATGGGGCAAAAGACTGAATATGTACATTCTTACTTTTTTTTTTAAAGCAAGTACTTTAATAGTTCTATCACATTGCTGGCTTATATTATTGCAGAGCTTGTATTCATTATCACTGTGTGGTTTGTTTCTGTTTCAAACTATAGACTGAGTTATATTAGCATACAAAGTTGTGAACACTGTGTAAAAGTTTTGGTGTGGTATTTCCCCCCCCCCCATGTACTAACTACTGTAAATTTTCTTCCTGTCATTCCGTACAGCAAAATGGACGGAAGGGGTTGCAGCTAGTTAGATGTAAGTTCAATGGCAATCACTAAATCAAAAAACGTATCTTCACTTCAGGAAAAAAAGTTTCTTGCCATTCACAGCCATCTACTTAAGACTGTATTTATAATACTCTTTAAAATAAATATTTTGTACCAAAATACTTTAGTACGTGAAACATTCAATAGACAAAAATCATAGTTTATCCTTATAAGGACTAACTTTAAATTGCATGAAAAAAATTGAGCTTGTTTTATTATTCTCTTAGAAGAGAGTTTACTATACTGTGAAGAAAGTAATGCCTCACGTTTGCGTCAACAGCAGAAGTGTCCAGATGACCACAAAGCTGAGGCCAGCTCTGGAGGCACGCTGTACCCCTCCTGCGCAGGGGGACGGTGTTAGTCTTGCTGCGAAGAGACGCAGCGGCAGGAACAGGCAAACACTCCCCCCACACCAAAACAGCCGAAAGCACAACTTCCCCCCCGCCCCCACCCCCAGCTAATGGAGGGTCACCGCCCCTTCATACTGTTTCCCGGTGC